GTGTGTGTGTGTGTGTGTGTGTGTGTGTGTGTGTGTGTGTGTTTGTGTGTGTTCTGTCTTACAGGAGGATCTGAAAGGTTGGGTCAACAGCATCAACGCTAGCCTGAAGGAGATCGAAGAAATTGCCAAGTGGGAGAAAGCCACAAACTCCTTCACCGACCCCGACAAATCAGAGCGGAAGGAGCGTTCTGAAGGGGCGGAGCCATCTGAGGGGGCGGAGAGATCAGAGAGGTCAGAGAAGTCTGAGCGTTCAGACCGATCGGATAAAATAGAGGCATCGGACAAAAGCTCAGAAAAGAGGGACACACCCGAGAAGGAGAGAGGAGATAGAGCTGAAAGAGGAGAGAGGGGAGAACGAGGAGACCGGGGTTCCAGGGGTTCCAGCACTTCGGGAAAAAGCAAATGACTCATCTCTCCACACCTTTATTTACTCATCCATCCCTCCATCTTTCCAGAGAGAAGACAGGACTTGCATTTCTCTGTCTCTGTCGCTCTGTTTGTCCTGACAGCCTGATTTCAGGACCGACGTATTTAATGTGTCGATGTGCGTCTGTGTGCGTGTGCCAATGTGTTGAAGAGATTGTCTGTGAAAGAATACGAAATGAACAGTATAAGGCCGTATCCCAGCATCAGAGGGCCAGTTCAGCCGCCCTGCTCGACTCTCACAGAAAAGGCACTTTAGATTATTGAGGATGACTATAGCCCTTAATATTTTAGAAGCGTTTTCTCGAAGCAATATACTGTACGTAGTAACCGATGCCGCTCGTTTTAGCTGCTCTGCTCTTCCAAGCGAGTGCGAGAGAGAGAGAGAGAGAGAGAAGTGACAGAGAAGTCTTTCAGAGAGAAATCTGGTGCGGTAGTAGGGTAGTAGTAGTTCCTCCTGATCGACATCCTTGCACAGCCCCACACATGCATACGCACACGCACTGTGCATCATGGGAAAATGTTTGCTATGGAACACCATTCTCTCACCCGAGGCCGTACACATCTTCCACCTGCTGCTTGTAGTAATGGTTTTTAATCATGCGAGACGCTTCACAGTACTCTGGTCAGTCCAAATTACACTCGATGAAGAGTCTCGATCACAAAATGTGAATATAATGTGGCAGTGGGTGTGTGAATAGAGCTCCATCCAGAAGGAAATCAAATGTACTATGTATAATCTCATTGATTGTATTTATTAGGTTATCACGATACAAATTTAAAGTGTGAGGTTATTCTTCCCTGAGCTAAGAGGAAGTACGATCAAACACCCCCGTACGTGTACAAAAATGCTGCTTTTTATCATCTCTGCCCCCTTACATCACTTTTTGATTGTAAAATGATTAGTACACATAAAATAGGGTGTCTGTGACTTTGTCATGCTATAAAGAAAAAGATTGTATATATATATATTTGTATATATACTAGTAAACGAGATTTACTTCTATGAGCCGCATCGTCTAATTACAAAAAAATATATCATTTTTATCAATGTATGAAAATGTAACAAGTAAAAAAAAAACATTGTTTAAAGTGCCCCTGGCTGAATTCAGACAGTAAACATGCGCGTTAGCCACCTTTTCCGGGATCTCTTGTATACGGAAATGCAACTTTTACTGTTTACGGTTTTGTTTTGGCCAGGGCAAAAGATCAGGATCCTTGTAAAAAGAAATCACCATTAAAACCCTCATCAGAGACTGTTTTGTGTTTAGTTTAAAGAAAACTGTCTCTTGACAGCTGTTGCAATTCCTATGACAAAGACAATGATTTTCCCCTTAAAATATATAGGTGCAAATTATATTTACACAGATGTGATACAAATAAAAATATCAGAGTAAACCAGAATCGTTCATTTAAAAGAAAAACTGTTTTTCCACTTATTTGTAATGATGGTCCTAATGCTTTAATTTACATTGTAAATCACATTGGTGAGGTCAAGCTCTGTTTTCACGGCACAAACGCCTTCTGAGTTCAAACTCCGACTGGCCTCATTGTCTATGCAACACCAAATATCAGCGCCATACAACAGCCAGTTTCTGAAATTGAGATTAAACCGTGTGGAAACTAGTCCTTACCTAAATCTGTGAATAATCACATTTGTAATAATCCAACACAAATCTACAAACCTCTGCTTGGAGATCAATAACATTAGGACTCGTCTAATGTGTCAGTTTTTTCTCTCTGTGGGTGCCTTATGAATGCATGTTATAAGGAGATGTGGACACCGCCTCCATTATTGTATTCGGTATGTTCTGAATAAAACACTCATGACAAAAAACATTGCTTAAAGACACACTTGACCCCTGATCAGCTCCAGTAAAACATGCAATATTGATCTGCATTTTAAATACAGCTGAGCTGATCGTGTGCACTTGCTTTCAGAAATAAGTGAGTTCCTGCTGTCACAGGACACATACCCTATGACGACAGAAAACAGTTGCACAACCTTCAGTCAGGCTTAGGGTCAAATCTGCTACTGAGTGGATATGTATTTGGTCATTGTCATAGAAACTGCATAACTAGAGACTAAGCTTGTTTTGCACTGCGTATCGGTGTCTGATAAATGTAATTGAGGGTGAATGAATGTCTGTTAGCAAATCGTTGCTGTGTATGTCTCTGTCTTGCTGAAGCAACCTCACTCCTAACAACCAACTCTACCCCTCCCAAAGCATTAAATAACAATTTGGACTTATTTTACTTAACTTTTTGACTCTTCTACATATCCAACATTTGTTTCAGAGTGACCTTGACTATGGTCTGCCTGCAAAAAGCACAATTTCTCCCTGAACAACAATCTGGAGTATTAGAAAAGAGCATGATCCATGCATTTCTTAAAGCTGCCACATGAGTTCAGTGTTGCAATGGCTAAAATCATTTTTGTTGAACTCTTCGATTTACCTTTTTTTAAACACATGTCTGTTTTTTTTTTTTTTCAGACCATGTGGTCAGGTTTTGCTTTGCTAAGCCTTGCTTTGTTTCTCTCCAGCTTGACCTCACCAGTAAGTATTTACATTTCAATTTATTGCTGAAAGAATGGAGAAAAAAGCCCTAAAATGTATGGTGTGTGTGGGTTGCCCTTCTTTATTTGAAGTCAGTTGTTTCACACATGAAATAAAAAAAAACACTATTAAGTTGCATGAAAGAGAATATAGAGGTGATTTCTATGCAACAGCTGTGCATGTTTATCAAAAGGGTTTCAATCTTCAGCAAAGCACTGAGTTTGGATGATGGTGATGATGATGATGATGATGGAGATGGAGAAATGAGTGGAATGAGCAGATCACTTGTATAGCTGAAATGAGACATTAAATAATTTATGTACTGATGTCTGCACTAATTCATAAATACAGGTTGTATATATCAGTCTGCTGTGGAGTTTTGATTTTGGTTTGGAGTTTGCTTTTGCAGGTTTGCTTAAATTGTTTCTTCATCTATAAAAATGTTTGAACATATTTGATTATACACTAATGCATATTTTACAGTCCACTTTTAAAGTTAACCTTTATATTTAAACTAGAATTAACTGAGGATTTTTGGTATTCGATAGACGTCTAACGGTTTGTGTTCACTTGAAAGGCAATTCTGAAGTACGTTGGGGCTATTTTTATCGTTAATAAAGGTTTTGAGACACTAGATGGCGCCACCTACCTAAAGAGATTTTAATGCTCAGACTTAAAAAGTGCACTGCATTGTTCGTGATTTGCCAGTTTTTGTGTTATTTTCAGAAGACAGTCTGCATTTTTTTAGTTTTCTCTTTTATTATAAATTTACCATATGCATTTCATCTAAGCAAGCATCTACAAAAGCTGTATAGTTGCTGGGGTTTGGGGAAACAAAAACAAGCCCTATAGATGGAGAGTGTTGGTTGCCATCCTGTATTTGAAGTTAGTTCTTCCACACATGAAATTAAAGAAAACATTATTAAGTTGCATTGAAGAAAGTATTGAGGTGATTTCTATGCATTTAATAGCTAATAATCATTTCTTAAACAAATTAATTACATTTGTCTCTGTTTAATACAGAACACGAAGCACTATTGACCCTTGTCTTGTCATGGTCTTCCCAGATGGAATCCAGCTTGAAACAGGTTTGTTGAATAATTTGTCTGCTTCAAATAAGAAAGACTTTTAAGGTGCATTACTGAGCATGAGGACATACAGCAGAGAAAACAGAAATCATACATAAGCATCTAATTTTTCACATTAAAGCAGAAAAAGTTTTTTTTTTTGGCTTTAACCTACTTTGACATGGACATATTTTGACACCCCTTTTCCTCCCCTGTAGAGAATCATCACAATGAGCACATGATGATAAGTAAACAGTGATGTTTTTCAAATTATTTTAAAGCATTTTTCATGTTTTGGAGCAAAAACAGTAAACAAATTTGCTGCGATTTGCCTTTCACACCAGGAACCTGCTGCATATTTTCATTTTCACTTTAGCAACAGTAAATGACTCTGTGGCGGAACAAGATTTTTATACATGGGCTGGCCAGTACGGGTGCTATAGTTCAGGGATGCAGGAATAGACCATGAAGAAAATCAATGTGTAATCCTATTATCGCATCAAAAAAGCATGAATTAATCATATGATTACTGACAAAGCCGAGCGAGGTATAAGTGATTTACGTAGGCTATTAGTTCAGTGTGGCAGATGTTTTCCAGTTTTACTCATTAATAATGAGTAAAACTACACTCTAAAAAATGCTGGGTTAAATACAACCCAGTGCTGGGTAAAATAGGGACAAACCCAGCAATTGGGTTGTTTTGACCCAGCGGTTGGTTACTACCCAGAAGGTTGGGTTAAACATTTAACCCAACCCAACCGCTGGGTCAAAACAACCCAATTGCTGGGTTTGTCCCTATTTTACCCAGCACTGGGTTGTATTTAACCCAGCATTTTTTAGAGTGTAGTTGTAATTTGTGTTTGTTCATATTTGATGACTGACTGTTCTCTTGTCAATTATAATGTTTGAATATTAGGCCTATTAGTTAGGCTAGTAGTTTTTACTGTGACTGGAATATGTTTGGAAATGCTGCTTTAAATTACCTATTCAAAAAGTCATCAGTTACATGCTTCCTTTTGAAACAAACCAATGATTCAATGACTCATTCATTAAAACAGTGACTTGCCGCCACCTACTGGCGGTCTTAGTTTCATATGTTATGTAATTATATATTATGTATATATGATGCACTTTTTTAGGTCTGTATTACTGATTATTAACATAAACCTTATTTAATAAAAAATATTTCCCACAGTTAAACACAAGACACAAACACACTTTACAGTTTAACACCAACTTGACTGTGATTTGTAATTATAAGTATTTTTCTTATTACAGGCAAAGATTAGAGTAAAGGCACAGTAGCAGACAGAATCTATCAATACATCATGCAGATTAAATACAGTATAATTACGTAACACCAACACAGAAACAATTCACTGAAAATCTCTTAATAAATACACATAAATGAGTTAAGTAATTATATTTGCCTCTACATTAACATAAGGCATTAGACAGAAGAACTGAACTTTAGTTTATCATCATACATGGGCTTTGCCATGCAGCAAGGAGAGTTATACTGCTTTGTACACTCATTGTCAGGACATTTATTTGCATTCATTAGTAGCCAATAGGACTTTTGAACTATTCAGTATAATGGTTTGTAAATGCCTGTCAACATGCTAGGCTTCTGTAAATACAATTCATGCACATGCTATGAGTCAATAAAACAAAGACAGTGACTTGTCTGAGACAAATGACATCTGTTTTTAGTTCACTGTGGCTGGAATAAACTGGATAATAATTAGACACAAGCTAAAGCGGATCTCAACTGTGAAGAGTTGAGGTATGTAGTTGTCAGAGTCACAGGATCTTTCTGAATGGTTGATGAGGTGATTTATCAATCCTCAGTGTCATTCTGCTACCCGTCCTTAGTGGTCTCTAAACTATACAAAACACAGAATTTATTGTTACTGTGATATACATTCAGTTATTACCTTTGAATCACCTCCTGCTTGAAGTCTGCAATAACTAATATATTATAATATTAAGAAACTTCTTAACTAATATTAATAAGTATTACTTTATTTTTGATCCAGTCTGCAACTGCAGAAATTGCTTCCTGATTTTTTTTGCAGTCAGGCAGTCCTTCACCATCACAGAAAATACAGTTCACCACTAAAACGTCCTGGCTTTTCACATATCCACTGCTGTTTGGCACAGAGTCTGAATCCAGTGTCTTATGGAGAAAAATGACAACAGCAGGCTTATCTGAAGACAAAAAGAGAAAAAAGATACTGTCAATAGACCTATATTATAATGTTGAGAAAAATCATTTGCAATGAAGAAAAGCTGAAGAAGCTCATTTTAAAAGAAAGCAGATAATTTACCAAACTAATATCAACTTGATCAATACTAAAGCTAATGAACACATTTATTCAAGATGAGAGTGAATAATAAAAATATTTATGGTGTCTTTGTTTTTCCAATTTTGAATTTTCTAAAATCTCGCCTGGTCTCTTTTGGTACTCTTGTAATGTTGCATTGATGTCAGATGGTGAACAAACAGGACAGAAGTGCAGAATGATTTCACTGTCCTGCACTCTAGGAACATTCCTCAGCTGCACCCGTTTGTCTAAAGCTTCTTTAAAGTCCTCATCACACTTGCATGTGTCTTTAGTCACATGGATAAAACAATTAATTGGACGGGAGGAACTGCATGGTATCTCTTGCACATCTGAAAAACAAAAACCTTTATAAAACCAGACCATGATATAAAGTCACATGAAGTACATTTTTAACTCATGTTAAAGAAACACACATTGACTGAATATAGGGTTTATAGAATAACACATTCTAAAAATAGCTGAAAAACTAAGCGAAAAATGTTCCTCATGTAACATCTAAATGAACTGATTTTATTCAATTCAAAAATAGTTTACACACTCTGAAAAAAAGGGTACAAATGCTGTCACTGGGGCGGTACCTTTGTAAAATGTACCACCTCAGTGACAGCTTTTGTAACCTTTTTTTTTTTCTGAGAGTATATAACTCACTATATTAGGTTACAATAGTAATTTTTAAGGGTCCAGATTCCAAAAAGAAAATTCAATTTCTAAGACATTAATTTGTAGTATTTTTGGATAACATAATTATTTATTTGAGATGTGATATATTGATTTAAAAATTTTTTTGATTAAAGTCATAATTATATCATATGTAACCAAAGACTTTTAACCTACTACATTTCTGTTTTGGAGGTCCCGCTGCCCATGCCTGTCCAGAAAAATGGCATTAATAAATATGAATGGTCGTTTTCAGTGTCATAGTTTTTAATTATAATATATATATATATATATATATATATACACACATTTTCAACCAAAGGAGCACAACTACAGTGCAATAATCTATAATAATCCACTTCATGTCTACTCATATGTTCATATGTTTTGTGTAATCTGAAACACTGGCTATCAAAGTCTGTACGATATGTTAATTGCACCCCAACAAAATAACAGGTAATTTCTGCATTAGCCGGTATTTTTGCTCTTCTTCTATGTTGGATAGAAAAATTCCTGGATATACTGAAACATTATATTAGCTTTGTTCAGAACTATTGGACCTGACAGCTCTTATGCACTTACGTTCTACTTAATGATAAAGCTGTTTAAAGAAACAGGTGTTACTCAACCATAAAATAAAATATGAAAGTTGTAGAAAACATTGAAATTGAACAGTGTATTTGACAAAAATCTTAATATCTTAATAAATGAAAACGTATTACATCAGTTCTTCATGCCAA